AGAGAGAGAGAGAGAGAGAGAGAGAGAGACAGAGACAGAGAGACAGAGAGAGAGACAGAGAGACAGAGAGACAGAGAGAGACAGAGACAGAGAGAGATACACACATAGACATACGCACACATGCACACACACAGATATACACATACAGTGATATACACACATGCACACATACACAGATACAGACACATAGAGATACACACACATACACTTAGACACAGAGAGATACACACACATAGATACACACACACAGATACACATACATGCACACACACACACACACACACACACATTCACACCCACACTATAATTTAAAAAATTTTTGCAAGCATTGAATAATTTTGTTGATAGTTTTTTTCAGGATGTTAACAATTGGCATCAAACAGGAGGTGCATTTAGGAAGTATATTCATGTGTATATTACCATTACAAATACAGTACCATTACAAATCTCAGAGTTTGGACAAACCTGGCTTCCAGCCCTTTGAGTGCCTATCGCTGATGGCCATGTGGAAAATCATTTTTCCTTCTTTTCCCAGGGTCTTCGTGGGTTTCAGGAAGTTCCTGGGAGAAGCAAAGAGTAAGTAGAGACAAAATGCTTCATCCCAGTGCTTGGCACACGGTAAAGGCTCAAGGAAGGTAACTTGCCCTGTCATTCTTGCAATCGATCAAGAAACCCAGATGGTGGTGGCGGCAGGGCACTTCACACCTACTAAGTCAGGCACAACCATGCCCCTCAGTGTCCCAGAGTCTGGGAACAGCAGTACAAGACCAACCCCAGTGTCTGGAAAAATATCAAAGAACCATAGATGCGGCAGGAGACTATAGAAGCACCACACCCTTTAACCTGGACCTCCCTTTAACATCCAGGGGTCCAGGCACAGGCTTAAGTGGAGTATCATTACCATATGGTGTCTAAATAGTTGAAAGTTACATGTTAGGTTACTGCCTGTTCAGTAAGAATATGCTCAACCCTCCTGTCTTGACCAGTGTACCCTCAGATCCACCTGGAAGGTTGAGTTCATATTTAACATTCCTATGTTGGAGCTGCTAGTTCCAAGACCATTCTCTTCAGAGGCCCTAGGTCTTCCTTGCCCTGGGAACACTTGTCCACATGTCCAAACACTGAAGGTCAAGGAACAGCTGTTCCAGTTCTCGGGTCAAGTGTGCCCACTCCTAGTGCAATTGGATCTCAGGAGAGGAGACCCTGAGAGCAAAGCTGTGCAAGCTTGGAGACTAGCATTGAGTCACTGGGCAAGGACTCCTAGAGGTATGAGGTATCTGGAGAGTAGTCTGAAGAGAGGTGGTGAGTATGGAGTGTACATGTTCCTCTGGCCTGGGGGCTCCTCTTCAGGAGGGTGTTATCCAGGCTGAAGATGGCCACGTGAGCTTTTCTTGACTGACCTGAGCACATTGCTGTCCCAAGTCTCTTCTTAGAAACTGTCCAAAGGAAATGAATGGAAGTCAGTCAGCAGAATAAAGGAGCTAGAGTGGGACCCAGCCCCGGTAATTGGTACATTGCACATTTTCCTTATCCATTTATCTCCTGGTGGACATCTGGGCTAATCCCATGTCTCACCTATTGTGAACAATGTAGCAATAAGCATGAGCATGTGGGTATCTCTGTGTCACGTTGACTTAGAGTCCTCCAGATACATAGCCAGGAGGGACATAGTTGGGTCACACAGTACTTCTAGTTTTAGTCTTTTGAGAAACCTCCACACTGATTTCCACAGTGACTAGACTAATTTACATACCAGCTCAGTGGAGGATTATTGGGCCAGAAGGGTGAATCAAATCTTGTCATTTTTCATGATAATAGATGGAACTGGAGATCATGTTAAAGGAAAGGAGCCAGACTCAGAGAACACACACTGTGCACATTTCCTCCCATAGGAAAATCAAGATTAAAAAAAAAAAAAAACATAAGAAGAAGAAAAGAAGGGAAATTAGAAGGGGGCTATTTGAGAAGAGACGGGGCCAACAAGTGGGGGGAAGGGAGAAGAGAAAATAATACAGATGGTGATTCTGATCAAAATACTTTATATACATATATAAATGTCATAATTAACCTATTTAAAACTTTAATTTAGATTTAATTATTTATTTAAGGGGGCACATTGCCATGGCAAAACTATGAGGCAGTCAGAGGACAACTTGCTGTCGCTAGTTCCCTCCTTCCACCATGGAGGCCCTGGGAACTGAACTCAGGCCGTTACTTGGGGGCATGCATCTTTACCTGCTGAACCATCTCTAAGGCCCAAACCCCATTATCTTGTATAATTACTAATGGGCAATGAAAACTAGAAAAATTAACCCCTACACATTAGAAAAAGACAGCTGTCCTTTGGAATGGAGTAAAAAACGATATGAGGAGCATCACAAACATTCGGCCATGTGTTTCACGGTAACAACTCTTCATAGCTGTATAGTCTAGCAAGACTCTGAAAAGCAGACGACAGTCAATGAATAACATGTAAATGATCTTAAGAATAAAGGAAGCCGTCCATGTATTTAGTTATACAACAACGGCTGCCTAGCTTTGGACGAGGCATCGAAGATAGTGATGGTGGCGTTCTATCTGGCACCGGAAAGACCAACCTAGTGTTGGACAATATGGGCAAGCTACTCATCACTCGGGTTGATGAGTCTAACAGGCACAAAGCAGCATGGGGCACGTGTATGTGCACTTAACTTTAAGTGAACATCGACAGCCACGTGAGCCGGCTACAGGTGAGACTTGGATGGCAGACTGCCAAAGGGAGGAAGAACGGCTGGAGCAAGAGAGTGAGGCTAGCCCAGACTGCCTTCCCAAACTGTCTCCTTCTCGGGACCGAGGAGAGAGGCCGGGACTGGAGCGGCCAGCAGTACGTGGTTAGACTAGGGGGGTTGCATTTGCTTTGGGTGCTCTGGACATCTCTGCTGCATTTATTGAACATCTATGATACACTGGGCATGGTGTGTACCTAAACACAATGTTTTAATGAGCCCTCACGATGGCCTGGGTAGGGAGATGCAGCTTTCCTGAGGAGACCCTCCGGAACCTGGCCACTCTATTGAGGAGCAAAGAAATAAACCTAAGCACCCTCACCAACAACCAAAGGCCAATACATCTCTCTTTTCCCCTCGACTGTTTCCAGCGTCCATACCTTCAGGAGACCCCAATTAAAACACTATTTCCGTAGATGTGAGAGAATGGTGGCGTTTGATAGAGGTCCTGGGTGTGGCAAAGCCCCTGACAACAGAGAAAGGGAGGAGGCAGACCACAGCCTGTGAGCCAAGTCCACCGGCCGCTCGTTTTCATACAGCCCACAGTCCAAGACGTGTGACAGTTTTAAATGGCCGGGGAGAAATGTGAAAACGAGCTGAGATGCCAACTGTCAGGCCTCTGATTCAACTCACTTGGCCCACACTGTTGTCACTCAAGTGTGAATTGTCTCTGGCCACTTGTACACCCCGTAACAGCAAAGGCAGGTGGCCGCAACAGACGCCACATGGCCGGCAAAGTAGAAAATGCTCGTGCTCTAGGTTTTTAACGAAAGATTCTATTGATCCTTGACACAGGAGAAGACCACATGTCTGGCTATTTACTGTTAATGGAACCCAGCACTCATTCTGTGAACATCTCTGCCTTAGCTCCTGTTGCTAGGCCTCGCTTACATAGATTACTGCAAAGCCTACAAAACACACATTATTGATTCCCTAAGAAAACTGGATGAAGCCTTAAGCTCAAATTCTTTTTTAAAAATTTTATTTCATCTTTCACAACTTCATATAATCTATTCTGAGCATAGTAACCCCATTATTCTGTCTTATCTCCTCCCCTCCCACTGAACCCTTTCTTTTTCCAAATAAGAAGCCCTCCTTCTTCCATGTCTGTAGCATGAATCTTAAAAGGTAATTATTAATAAAAGCAAACCCAGGGCCTGGCATTGGGGTGAATGCTGGAAGATCAGAGAGACAGAACAAGCCACAGCTTCCTCACCCCGCCAGTTCCTCAGCTGATCCTGTTTCCTCAGACTGGATGCCTCTCAGCTGAACTGTGCTGCTCAAAAGCCTAAAAGCTTAACCAGTACTAGTTCCTGGTCCTCATGCCTCATATACCTTTCTGCAGATTAAAGGTTCACTTCCTGGGATTAAAGGCATGAGTCACCAAGTCTGGCTATTTCCAGTGTGGCCTTGAACTCACAGAGATCCATGCCTCCAGAAGGCTAGGATTAAAGGTGTGAGTGCCACCATTTTCTAGCCTCTGTATCTAGTGGCTGTTCTGTTCTCTGACACCAGATAAGTTTATTAGGGTGCACAATATTTTGGGGAACACAATACCACCACACATGTCCTTTTTGCACCCCACTTAATTTAATTGTGGTGATTTACATGAGCTCAAATTCTTTTTTTTAATTAAACAAATGGGGAGGTGGTATTGGAGGGATGGCTCAGTGGTTATGAACACTTGCTGCATTTTCAGAAGATGGGTGGGGGTTCAGTTCCTAGCACCCACATGTTGGGGAGTCTGATGTCCAGGCCTGCATATGGTGCACACACATACATGCAGGCAAAAAAAATGAATACACATATAAATACATTTCTAAAGAACGTTGGTTGTGGGACAGGATCTCACTACATAGCCAGGGCTTTTCTTGAACTTACTATGTAACCCAGGGTGGCCTTCTGCCAATCCTGCCTCATCCTCCTGAGCACTAGGAATACAGGTATGAATCCTCACACCCTGCTAAAATCAAACTCTTCTCTCTATTTCCTAACATGGAAGCAGGCAAGCCCCTTCAGAAATATAAGCTCTAACTAAGGAAGAATAGATTTATGGGATCCAGGGAAAGTATGATATTCTGTCTTCAACCTCCCCACTCCCTGATCTACAATTCAAACAGCACCAGGCCCGCCAAAAGTGGAGTAAAAGCGAGCTCAGCACACTTCTGGTCTCTCCTGGAGGAAAGCACAGTGCTTTCCTAAACAGCGCTGCTCTAGGGGCTAAGGACCTCTGAGTGTCCCCGCTCCAGCCACTCACTCTGTTTCCTGTGTGGTTAACTTGAAATGCTGTCTGGAATCTAGTGACCTTGCCAAGTGTGGCAAGCAGGAGGACCGGGCAGCCCACATGGTCACAGTCACCTGGACTGCCAAGACGGCTCAGGGCTCTCTTCTGTTTACCAGGAACAAGAGGTCCTTTCCTACTCACGAAAGGTCAGTATATTTACCCGAAAAGCCCGAACTCTCTAGACTTCCCAGCCTCTGTGTCTCTCAAGGCCAGGTTCATGCTCAGAGACATTCCTTAGAGGAAGGGGAAAAAGAAGCCCACACGCCCGATCTTGTTCTAGATTCCAGGCCACCTTGTACACTAGAGAGCAGAACTGGTGTCCCTCTCAATTCCACTTTAAAAAAAAAACCATGCCATTTTGAGCAATTCATGGGGTGGCCCTGAGACTCAGTTTCCACATCTATGAACCTATGTAGAATCATGAATGACATCAGCCTGCTTGAGCCTTACAGTGTTTGAAAATGCTGCCTCTTCCTCTTCCCTTCCGGTTACCCCTCCTTCTTGAAGGTTGTTCAATATACACTCTGCTTCTCTCCGTTTCTGTGTTATGTAAGCATCCAGATGAACTCCAAGTGTCTAATCAGAAGAGAAGCGCAAGAGACAGAGACACCTGGCTCGGTCAGGAAGCCATATCTTGTGTCAGGCAAACAATTCAGAGCCTCGTCAGCTCCTTGCTCTGCTTGTCTGCAGAGCTAGAGAGGTAGAAAGGGCTGGGCTAGGAGACTGAGCTGAGAGGGTGCCTGTCACCTGGAGATTAGGCAATGTCAGACTCACCTGTCCCCAGGGAACTCCAGAAGGATGAAACCAGGAAAGGCAAGGCTGGTCCGCTCCCCCACGGTGACTCCCTGGGAGTTCCTGGCCTCCTCACATCCGCCTCTCACACCACTGGCTTCCCTCTGGTTGCTGCTCTGGCCCTCCCTTCTCCTTTGCCAGCCCTTTCCTGCCCCAGGCTCTGAAGGTGGGGATCCTCTGGTTCTTGGCCGCTTACCCTTTCTCTTTCAGGGTTTCATTCTTATGAGATCATCCAGGCTCTTGCTTTTCATGCCGCTCCCAGATTTCTCACTCCAGCTGTGACACTTTTCCTATATGGCACAGAGGAACTTGGGAGCAAATGTAGGGAGAAAGGGAGTCACAAACGGAAAGAGAGAAAGTGTGCACCTATGTGTGCACATGTGTAGCTTTCAAATATTAAAATAAAATAAAAACAAAAAAAGGACAATGTCTTGGAGAGAAAAACCTGCTGTAAATAAGAAAGACCAAGAGGTGACATCTTATATATATATACAGCCCTCATAAAAGTAGATCTGGAAAGCACACTAAGGCACTGAGAATTAATTAAGAGGCAAGAAATGATCAGAAAACTCACCACAGAGAAAACACAATTAGAATACCAGCACAGCCAAATGTTCAGCTCAGTGGGAACTAATGGCTTTTAGAACTGGGGGAGGCAAGTTCAACCAGAGGTAAAGTAAGGTTTCTGTTAAGGAGAGAGTGGCTGTGTGGAAGAGCCGGGGACCTGTCCTGGTGTCCCAGCATGGCCAGAGTCTGTAAGATCAGATTCCTGATGTAACAGCTGTGCCCTTGATCGAGCTAAGCTGCCTGCTCCCAGCCACCGCCCTGGACCGGGCCCTTTCTGCTGGACATTTTGAAAGGGATGTGAATTGATATGAGATAGACGATCAAGGCCTTCATGCCTGCTTTCTGGGAACTGACTGGATGACCATAGCCCTGGGGACCACTTATATGCCACGAAGAAGATGCACTCAGAGGCCTCTAAATGGTCTTGGCAACCCAGCATGTTCTACATTTATCAGACTTGGAGAAATCATTTGTCCAACGGTAAAAGCTGTATCTTCAAATGCAGATGTCTGAGAGCTTCCAAGTCCATTTATTTGATTCCACAGGTCCTTCAGACAATGTCCATCTTTCCCCAAAAAGATGTCATTTCTTCCAGTAACAACCCTAAGACACAAGTCCATGCTAAAAAGCTGTGAGTGCCAGCACTGACCCTACAGAGTCTGAGCGAGAGACTCACGAACACAATTTCCCCTTTCCAAATACTTGGAGAAATCAGGAAGTAAATGAGTTAGTTGCAGGACTGGGTGACAGTGGTGTCCAGGGCCAAACCAGGGTCACTCTTATTAAAGTGGCCTTCTAATGCAAGAGTGTCCTCTTCGCTGATGGGTCCACAAGGAACCTCATCTTTTAGTAAGAGACACAATCAACTGTGCTGCGACACTTTTCCCACAGTCCAGTAGCCCTTTATTTAATCAGACAGTAAAGCCACATCTGAAATGGTCTATGCAAGTTCAGAACATGGGAATTCAGGTCAATGAAAGCTATCCATAACAGGCCAGAAGCCAGTTCATGTATTGGAGCTGCAAATCAAACTCCTGTCTCCTACGTATGACATTAGCCTAGAACTTGCCTTTAGACCTGAGCAAGAGGGACCTGTGCTCATTAGTTTTTGTCAACTGGACACAAACCCAGACATACTGAGGAAGGGGAAACTCACCTGAGGAATGCTTCCCTCATATTGGCCTGTGAGCATGTCTGGGCGACATTTTCTTGATTGGTAGCTGGTGTTGGAGGGCCAAGACGCTACAGGCTGTGGCGCCATGGGCAGGTGGACCCGGGCTCTAGAAGAAGGGTAGCTGAGCAAGCCAAGGGAATAAGCCAGTAAGCTATGTTCCTCCATGGTCTCGGCTTCAGTTTCTGCCTGCAGGTTGCTGTCTTTGGTTCTTGCCTTGGCTCCCCTTGGTGAAGCCAGATAAACTCTTTCCTCCCCAGGTTGCTTTTGGTCAGGTTTCCTCAGAGCAACATAGAAGTGAGTAGACTAGAACCCTTCCCAGGCTTCTCTTTTCTGAGCGTGTATACATATACATATACATATACATATACATATACATATACATATACATATACATATACATATACATATACATATACATATATGCACGTGCATGTTTCACTTTTGTGTGGGTGTGGATGTACCTGTAGTTGTGTGTGCACATATAACTATGAACGTGAAGGCCAGAGGTCAACCTTAAATGTTGTCTCTCATGTACCATTGCTCCCCCTCCAATTTTTGAGACAGGGTCTCTCACTTGGCCTGAAACTTGCCCAGTAAGCTAGGCTGTCAGACAGCGAGTCCCGGATATCTGCCTGCCTCTGTCTCTCCATGTTGGAATTACAAGTGTATGCCACCATGCTGTTCTTTAAAAGTAGCTTCTGGGGATTGAACTCAGGCCTTAGTGCTGGCAAAGCAAGTACTTTCCCAGCTGAGCTATCTCCCCAGCCCTCCAGGCTTCTTCTGTAAGAAGGTGTTCTGGCTCTGCTGTGGCCCTGGCTCTCCTCTCTGGGAAAGTTAACTGTAAGGTCGAAGAAGGCATTGCTCAAGGCCTGTGCCTCCACATTTTTGGATCGCCCTCATTTTGGGTCCCTGGGATTCTAGAATTCTCTGAGCAGAGCTCCAGGCCTATTCCTGGGACCTCCTCAGGCTTCTTTGCAGTGATGGACTTCCAGAGGACAGACTAACCGGAAGGCTGAGGGGTGGGGCTAGAGCAGCTTTGTATGTGGGGAGAGGGCTAGCCGAGCTCAGCGGCTGAGTGGCTCAGCTGTGTACCTTTGTACCTGTGAGAATTCTGGAAGAAAACGGAGATGGTAAGGCGTTGTGGAATGTTAGTTGAAGATGTCCTACATTCTTTTATGCTGTGGAATATTTGTTTAATGATGCAAAGATGTGTTCTTTTATGTTGCGTTTGTTTAATTACTTTGCCTGTCTAAAACACCTGACTGGTCTAATAAAGAGATAAATGGCCAATAGCTAGGCAGGAAGGAGAAATAGGTGCAGCTGGTATGCAGAGAGGATAAATAGGAGGAGAAGAGGAGGGAGGAGTGAAAAAAGGAGAGGGGGATGCCGGGGCCAGCCACCATCTACTCAGCCACCCAGCCACCCAGCCACACAGCCACCAGCCACACAGCCACCAGTTACCCAGCCACCCAGCCACACAGCCACCAGCCACACAGCCACACAGCCACCAACCACCCAGCCACACAGCCAGCCATGGAGTAAGAAGGAAAGAAAGGTATATAGAATAGAGAAAAGTAAAAGCCAGAGGCAAAGGGTAGACAGGATAATTTAAGAAAAGCTAGTAAGAAATAAACCAAACTAAGGCCAGGCATTCATAAGTAAAAATAAGTCTCTGTGTATGTATTTGGAAACTGGGTGGTGAGCCCCCAAAGAGAAAAAAAAAGCTACAGTAAGGTGAGAAGGGAAAAGAGATGGGACCTTGTCTTTTCTCATTGCTCTAAGCGACGGTATAGAATTCTAAGAGGCCTAAGGAACTAGATTTGGATCTTGCCATCTAAGTAAGAAACAAATGTGTACCTATCAAGGGATGAGACATTTGGTTTGTAAAACTTGGTTAGTATCACTAGCAAAGCTTAAATACTTTGATGTGTAGCATCCGGCCTCCACTGGAATCTTTTTATTTTGTGGTTTTTGTTTTGTTTTGAAACAGGGTCTTACTCTATTTACATACTCACTGTGGAGCCCAAACTGGCCTCATAGTTGCAGCAATCCTCCTGCCTCTGCCTCCAGAGTGCTGAGATTACAGGGTGGACTTCCACACTAGCATTCACTTCAGTAATTGCCCAAAGCAGATCTCAGCCTTCAGATCCGAATCTCCTCCAGTTCTGAAGCCTGGACTCCCTGGTCACTGCAGTTTGGGGGAGCTCTTTCTTTCTCTGTGTGGTAATGGGGAGGTTGAAATGGTAAGAGTGTAACTTCTGAGCTGGAGAGAGGCCTCTGCCACCACGAGTGTGCTGTTCTAACAGAGGACCTGAGTTCAGGTCTCGGCACCTACATCAGAGGGCTCACAAGCACCCGTATCTCCAACTCCAAAAGATCCGACACCCCTGGTCTTTGGGGACACCTGCATTCACATACCCACACAGAGGCACATATGCATATACATTATTAAAAGAAAAGAAAAAATGTATAATTTCTTCCCACAGAAATTTTCAGTGGGATTCTTTTTGGGTACAAGGACAAAAACCAACTCACATTGCCTTCAGGGAAAAATTAAAACATAGAAATCAAACTTTTGAACACAGTAAAGGAACTGTTGTTAGGTAGACATCTGACAAACGATTAATATCCCAAATACAAAGTGTAAGAGATGGGTATTGCCTCAGGACCCCCAAGACCAAGTTCTCAGCACAAAGGAGATTGATTTGCCCCAGCAGGACAGAGGGCAGGGGACAAGAAACAAATACAGGAGATAGAGGAGCAGGGAGAAGGGGGAGGGAGCAGGGATATTTGTCCTGGAGGGACAAAGGACCGCCTTTGGATAGAGGGGGGACAGATGTGGCCCATGGGCAAATGGCACTTTATAAAGTAAAGGGGGAAACCCTGTGTTAGGATGGGGTGTTTAATTTTAATTACTGGAGGAAGCAGCTCACAGGAGGCAGGCCTCGAGGAGTCACAGACCAACCCCGCTGCCTGTCTGCTCTCTGCATTCTTATTACCACTGACACAATGTGCCCAATGCCTCACACTTCTGCTGCCACGCTTTCCCTAAGCCGTGAGCCAAAATAAGCTCTTCCTCCCTTAAGTTGCTTCTTGGTCACAGTAAGGAGAAGAGTGACTGACACAGATGCTCTGAAGGAAAGCGGGAGTAAGACAATGCAGTGGAGAGACGCACCTGTCCCCAACCACACTGAGCGGAAATGGGGGCTGGTCTACCCATCCCTTGGCTATCGCTAATGGGACCCAATCTTGTTATAACAATAAATGTAGTCATTGTGACTCTGGGGTTCTAGAAATCTCTGGCAGGTATTTGGATTGGTGAACTACACAGAGATAAACAAAGAACAGTGATTTGTGAAGGAATGAGGCAGAAACACAAAAGACACCGGGACTAGTCAGCCCCAGAATGGCAAAGATGGAGTGAGCCATTACCCTTCTTCCAGTCAGGGCCCCCAGCTCCGTAGGAAGCTCATATGTATTTCTTGTACTTGAGTGTGACTCCTGGGCCTCCTAACATGTTTTCTCAGTGTGTGTGTATGTTAAAGCTGGATTTGTATCTGATGAACCACAAATAGAACAACACTTAGAACACAAAGGCAGGGCTGGGGAGATGGATCAGTGGAACAGATGCTTGTGGTACAAGAATGAGGACCTGAGTTTGAGCCCCAGCCCCCATGACAGCCAGGCACAGCAGCTCATTCTCAGAATCCCAGCACTGCGGAGGCAAAGACGTGTCCCTGGGCCTCATTGGCCATCCCAGACTAGCACTGGCAAGTATCAGGTCCCATTGAGAGACCCTGTCCAAAAACCAAGATGGATGTCTCCTGAGGAACACTTCTCAGTTGTTGTCTTGTGTCTACACACTTGTGCACCTACACACAGACACACCCGCACTTACACACACACCTGCACTTATTTACACACACATGTGCACCTTCATACACATGTATGCACACACACACATACAAAAAAAAAAGCAAAAAAAAATGGGTTTTTCTTAAGGAGTTAGTGAATTACTTTTCAAACATGTCTTGACTTTTACCCTCATTTTCTATGAGCATCCAGAAAAAAGGCAATGAGTGTGTGTGTGTGTGTGTGTGTGTGTGTGTGTGTGTGTGTGTGTGAAATAGCAAGGCCCTGATGAGATTGAGGTGGGACTGGGGGCATGTGTGGATTGTTAGTGTCCCCATCCCAGCTTCGATGTTGGAAAAAGGTGGACTGATCCGTCTCAGTTCCAGTGTGGGGAAGTTTGGACATGGGCTTTGCTTCCAGCAGTGGGGCGTCTCCTGGTGTGTAAACTATACTTAAAACTATGATGTGGACCGATGCCTCTAACCAGAGCCTGATCATCAATGATTTGGGGGAACGTAGCCTTCTTGGGAGGAGAGAAGATGTATTAAAGAGAGACCCCCGCGCCTCTCCCTTTGGTTATCTGACTGTGGAAACAGTGGTCTGTAGCTAGAGTTTTCCTGCCTTGCCCACAGTTAGGATAAATCTCTGTCACCCGCCAGTCCCACAGCCGCTCAGACCCAACCAAGTAAACACAGACACTTATATTGCTTACAAACTGTATGGCTGTGGCAGGCTTCTTGCTAACTGTTCTTATAGCTTAAATTAATCCATTTCCATAAATCTATACCTTGCCATGTGGCTGGTGGCTTACCGGCGTCTTCACATGCTGCTGGTCATGGCGGTGGCTGGCAGTGTCTCCCTGCCTCAGCCTTCCTTCCGCTTCCCAGAATTCTCCTCTCTCCTTGTCCCACCTACTTCCTGCCTGGCCACTGACCAATCAATGTTTTATTTATTGACCAATCAGAGCAATTTGACATACAGACCATCCCACAGCAGTGGTCCACAAAGAGTTAAAACCTCACCAGGAATCCCATGCTAGGCAGAGATTTCACACAGTTCTGAGAACTTATCTGACCACCTTACAGAAGAGCTGGGCAGTGATGGCTGAAGGATGGACGGGACCACACTCTGACCAGAACTACTCGGCTGTCACCTCTAGCTCTCTCTATGCAAATCCAAATCTTATGTACCCTGAATATGGACTTGGGGTTACTGGACCCCTTTATTTGTCCTCTTTCCGATGTGGTCATATTGAATAAATCTCTCTGC